CTCCACTGGGCTTGGAACAATTCGCGGTGACAATGCGTCGTGCACTCGCGACCAACACCCTTGCCCTCAGTGTGAGTACCCGCGAAGTCTTTGAATGCGTCCGGGAGCTGCATCATGCATGTCAATGCAGAAGAGTAAGTTAATTAAAAAATTAGCATACCTTTTGAAAGTAGGCTACGTGATTACCGAGATGGTGAGACGGTTTACAACGGCGGTACTTGGATTCGTTCCCGAAGTACATATATACCGGCCATAACTTTGCATTGCCGAATGTCGTCAGCTGTGTGGCATCGGACCAGATCATAAGCGCGGTAACCACGCGAGGTAAATCACATCCTGGCTCTCCAGGAGATTCCTGAAGTGTGCTGTGAGCTTCCATGAAAGCTGGTGAAGTGTACAGTTCGCCTTGGATGTTGACTTCTTGCGGTAGATGGGGGGGCTTCCATCGCAACTGATAAGGTTCGTAATGGAAATGTTCGACATCCTCAGCATTTGCGAGCTTTTCGCGAATAACCGATATGAGAGACCGATGGTAAAGGTCTGCTGCAATGTAAGGTCGAACGCCTGGCTGAGCTGTGGTTCGAGAGAAAGGGACTTCGATTGTCACTTCCGTTTTGCGCCAACCTGCATCTTCATCCAACCATTCATCATCCTCTTCATCGACACTCGCACCTAATTTGGAGTTGATCTTGTCCCAATGCGTATGTCGCACATCATTGGGATCAAAATCCGAGCATCCGATGATATCGAGCAAGCCTTTGAAGCTCTGGTGCGACTTCTGTGCCGTGCCATTCCAGTACCAATGCCCAAGCTCGAAGGATGTTTGATTGGGGTATGGGTGAAACGAGTTGTGAGGCTCAGCAGGGCCATACTGACCTGCTGGAGTAGGAATAGGAATAGAACTAATATCGTGAAGTGTTGCGGCCTCTTCTGGGTCATGAGACGGGGGGGTTGAAGAGAAAAACTGGCGCACTAGTCCGAATACATTCCTTGCCGTGCGGAAAGGAGCGGGTCGCGACGACGTACAAGCCGTGGTTAGTACGCTAGTGGAATTTGCGACGGGGATAGATTCCGTTTGTTGAACGATATGACTTGGAACACTGGGGGGAGGCTGCGGGAGTACATCGTCGTACTGCCTATAACGTGATGGCATGCGAACATCAACACGTCGACTTCTGCGTTGCGCCAGTGATAAACCGTCTTCCTCCGTGGATGTTGTGCCGATGTTGGCGTTGGATGCTGCGATGGGTATGTTGTCCTGGATCGAAGAACCTGCAGAAGGCACCTCCCCTGGGGGGTGCACTGCGGCCAAAGGCAAAGACGGGTGAAGACTTGAAGACCCCACACTGTATGTCTCGTTGACATGGTTGGAAGACGACGACGGGGCTTGTGGACAGCGGGGATGTGTAATCGAAGAGGGCGTGCTGATACACACATGCTGTCTGTTCCCATTGGTATCCAGTCGGGCCCGTTTTACAGAGCCTAGGAGATCTTTTGCTTTAGACAAAGCACTGATCAATCGTTTCTTGCCTTTCAGACAGGAACGTTGATGCTTTGTGAATGCACTCTCCTGAGTAAACTCACGTGTGCAAGTGCATTTGAAAAGCCTTTGCGACGAAGCTATATCCATGAAGAGCGAACGGATAAACAATTGAGCACAACAGCAAAAAATTTCAACAGTATAATATAACGTGACAAACCTGAACGTTAAGATGGCCAGCGCGATTACCCGAGTTGCATATTCCCACAGGCCAAGATCCTGGCAGTGCAGGAGGGGCTGGCACACTTGACGGGAGAAAAAAAAGTCGGACCAGCCATGACATGGTTAATTGCAGGATCTATAAAGAGCGATGAGGCCTTGTTGTATCCATCTGCACAATGGAAGCCCCATCCTCACCTTCTTCCGTGATCACTGCCCCACCTGACTGTCACGAAACCGCCGTGAGGCTCGCCAAACTCATGGTAGAAGCCATGACTTGCCGCTTTGCCCTCCTGCATTACGATAGTGCGTCAAAATCAATGATAGAATGGTACTGGTAAGATTATTCGAACCTTGTATAACTTCTGAGCGTTGACTAGAATATGGAGGCCTGACGATGACGAGGGAAAGAAGATTATTCCATCACACTTTGAGAAGTACCGCGAAGAACGCAATTTTCGATACCCGTGCTGCTTATGTGCCGACGGGTGTGGAAAAGAGGCCTACACCGAGGCGGCAGTGTATCCTTGGAAAGATAAGACTACTCGAGAGACTTATTGGAGGGTAAGATGCGCATCTGATGAGTGTGGATATCAAGGTCAGCTTCCTTCATTCTCGAGGATATCCCAAACTAACCATGACCTACCAGTGAGAATAGACGCATACTACCGGCTATCGTCTTTAGCCACCTTCCAGTACCGTCGTCGAGGTATCAACTACATTCCTGTGGTGCAATAATTTTATTGATAAATCAGCAGGAGAACATGAAAAACCATGCTCTATTCAATTCGAGTGGACATACCAGGAACAGACGGAATTGTTCAAAAAGCTTGAGTCGTCCATTGGTGATGGAATTACAGCGAAAGAGTTCCAGGTTTTATTTAGACGCTGCAAGCTTTGCTCGCGAGTAGGAGCGAGGTCGATTATGAAGTACCATATCCAGACCTGTTCAAGAGGGGTCCAAAAGCAACGACCTAGGAATAATCCGCCATTGCTGAAGCTACGTCTGCGATAGGCTGTCGTACTAGAGTCTTACTGATCCTTATCGATCAAACTTTACACTTACGTAATGGTGCAAATTTGCGCTCCCGACATCAACCCCACTCGCATCGATACTATGAGAATGTGCTTAATGAATAACGACACAAGACCAATGGAAAACTTCAAGTTGGTGAGGGTGTTTAGTAACTGGTAAGGTGAACCGAGCACGCTTACTTACATAATTCTAAGGCTGATCATCACATTGAGTTCGGGTGTCCGGGCCATATGTATCAACTTCTTGTCCTTTATCACCAGTCTCCACGCCGATGTGACAGTCCCCAACGACAGTCAAATGTTATATCAACGATGTGGATACGAAACCTAGGTCCGTATTGGATTTGTCGTGTCCATCATCGTGACATTGTTGGGAAAGTGACTCAAAGATTGGACTGCAGTGAGATAATCTGGGTGTACGCTAAGCACTGTTGACTTTTGAGAAGTTTGAAGTCGCCAGCATCTGACCAGTATAATATTCTTTTTCAGGTAAACGAACATGGCTCTCATCCCGCCACCATCGCCTGGCTGCCTGCCACCGCACCCTATGCAAAGATTTTTGTAAAATGTAACGGCATGCCGAGCTCGTCACCACGTATGCCCTCTTTACGTCTGAATTTTCTATGCGGAAGTCTAACCTCACTGCCCGGCCAGGGCAGTACCCAGATACAGATTGACGTCTAAGAGTCTCACACAGGCGCATTCATAGTGGAAGGTTTGTTTCATCTCGAGTCTCTAGCTATCTCAGTGCTCATGACTCTCCTAAAAGTTGATCCATCACTAGCACTGATGGCCAGCCAGAATTCGAATTGTTTGATAGCCAGTAACGTTGATTTGATGGCCAGCTGTCATACCATTCAATCGCCGCCCAAATCAGATTCCGATTCAAAATATTGGTTAACAAACGAGCTCCATGATAGCATGCGTCGCGCGTGTACATATTTCCTTACCACAACAGTCATGATACCAGCTCCATCCTATCTTCCACCATTCAACTCCTCAGCCATTCGTAATGGCATGTGCGAGCTTTCGGACATATTGGCAGGTCCCAAATGGCTGGATTTCTACATCAGACTCATACCAACGAAGACGGCAAGTCTACAATTTCTAAAGTATCAGTTCACCTAAATGTTTCTACGTAGCTTCGGACTGAATTGTATATTCTGTACTTCTTGCTCAAAGGCCGAGTCTATCACGGCGATATCTGGCAGATAATCGGAGGGCGTATATTGGAAGCACAGACAGAAGAATCGTTGCGAACGGTTAAGGATAACAAAGGGCGCGTAACCGTAGAGCGAGCTTTCATGGAACAGAAGAGGGATCGATGTCAGCTGGAGATGTCTTTGTGCAGCCAGGCTATCGATCACGTACAGCAACGATGGATAATGCGTGAGATTCTCCCAACTACGCAAACCAATGGTCTGACACCTCACTACTTAGCAATGCGTGCTATTACAACTCGCTCACTCGTACATAACGACAGCCCTGGCTTAACAACCTCAATATGTATCGCTGAACCTACTGTAGCCCGTTCAGTATCTACAGAGGCCTGTTCAACATCCATAGGAGCCTATTCGGCAGCTGTACAACACAAGTGCGAAACTTGGTTAAGAGAGCAAGACCCCGACTTCACGCCAGTTAGACAACTTTTTTCGGACAAATATGGCTACTCAAATTGTATCACACATATAGAGCAACGAATGCCAGTCATCGTGCACGTCAGTACTGTCAATTTTTCTACTTGGCTAGTCTGACATTATCACTGAAGTCCATCGACTCCTCGTTCCACCTGTCGAGCACATGGGTCCCACCTGGCGTTCAAGAGGCCTTTGATAAGGCATGCCATTTGGAACTTCGCTCTCAGACAGGACTCGTGGCAACCTACCTTGATATGGAAGGTTACCATTCTCATCAGCGCAACCCCGAGTTAGAGTTATATCACTTGCATGTGAAGATGTGTCGTGCCAAAGCTGAGGTAGAAGTTTATGAACTGGCGATTGGAAATGCGCCTGCATCTGACTACTCTGACAGCGACGGTGGGCACGAATTACTTACGTCCTCTTCAAAATGCTGATACCATTGCAGCTTCGTCATCACTTGGCAGCCGCCCTTAGAGGAGACGAGGCGCCTGGCTACGCGTGGTTGAATTCGCATCAGTCGTTTTCACATGGACATCTTACAAGCTATCAGACACGTATCTTTATGCTCATGTGTACATAACCTTTGTGATACCATGTACTAGTTTCCTTACCTTAACGTACTGGCTGCCATGATTTCGTGTTTAGATGTACAATATTGAGTATCTTCTCCTGCACGGCGCTTTGCTAATTAAATCAATGCAAACATCTCCAATGGACCTTATCACAGCGGAGTCCGAGTCAGATGCTGACTGCTGTAGTCCAGGATTGCTTGTGTTTGCCAAGGCATTGTCTTACACATATCAAAATCACGAGGAATGGCTGACTGGCGTCAGTGCTCCATCAATTTTGCAATATATGATTGTTGTCTGGTTGCTGATGACCGTAGTCTGGTTTGGGCAGCAGGTGTACCACAGATATTGAGAACTGTTGGTGATTTACAAAAAATTACCTAGGACACACCACACTTATGAATTCAGGCCAGTATTGCATGTAGTTTGTAACTCTTGATTGCCAGCTGACTGGCATTGCAAGTAGCAATCATGATGTTCAGCTCAGGCGATGGATGACCACAGGTTTGGAGAGACGCAGAACCTTTTCAATATTTTATCTATTGTATATCATAGTTGTTGGGACATATAATCCTTCATCAAGTTTGGCTTGTTCTTGTAACTTCTTGTCCTTTGATGCCATCGTGTCATGATTATCTATTGCTTTGCCTTTGGATATAATCCAGTAGACATGTGATCTGATGTTGCTATTTGTATCTACAAAAACCTTTTTCCCGCCGGTTTCCTGATGCCTTGTCGTCTGAAGCTGACTCGGAAGCTTGAGCTTGAAACTTGAAGATCTGGAGTATGCATGTACTATGTAGCTATCCGATATGAACGTTGTTAACCACAATAATACTTACTCTAAGATCATAGGCCCAGGGAGACTGAACAATTTAGAGGAAAACTGAGATGAAGTCTGGAGCCATTGTAGTCTGTAGAACATCATTGCATTGACAACACCTCTATTTTATGATTCTTGTGAGTGTCGTGTACTAGAAGATGACTATGAATGATTTGTATGTCCCGACTCAGAGTGTTCAATGTCCAAAAAACATGCCATGAGCCAAGCTCAGTCCATCTGAGTGCCTCAATACAGAAATGCTCAAGCGCAGTCTAGCTGCACTTACAAACCTCGGACAATTCACAAAGAAAAGTATTGATGCTTATCATAAAAGCCTAAGTGCCACTGGTGTCAGGCTGCGGCTTGGGCAGCAAAGTACCATGGACACCGTGTTTTCCCACCTTCAATATACTCAGTAAACTCGATGCAGCTGAAAAGTGACATGATAAAATATGAAATGTGAGTTTTGAAGTGTGTTGCGTATTACCCATCGATTGATTGTACATGGTGATACTTAGTACCTGTACATACACATCGGGGTGAATGATATTTAAAAGAGGTTTATATGTTGTACAAAATGTGAAGACAATATTTAATATTTAAACTAACATAAAGATGGGTGCACGACTTCAAATTTTGGTGGTGTTTTGTGTGTAATCCAAAATATCAAATATTCACAACCATATTCCCACAGACAATATGTCAACAAACATAAGAAATATAGTCAGATTTTTCATGTCTGCTTCAACTTAAAGTTCAATTTCCATGTAAAACTTTGGAGAAAACTTGAAGTTTTACAGATGACATGACATTAAAACTCGATTTAAATGTCAAGCTTTGGCAAAACTTCAAGTTTTCTCCAAAGTTTTATGTAAGAATCAAACTTTAAATTGAAGCAGACATGGAAAATCTGATTATATTTTACCTTGCGAAGCAAGGTCAGGTTCACATGGATCATTTTATGTGATTTCCAAATAATAGTAAATACAGTGACGCCATACAACGTGATACGATGATGCGAACTTATCACCTACCTCCGATTTCCCTTCCAATACTTGTTGTTTTCTGAATAACAAAGTAATAACTTAGACCGTGCAACTCCCTCGCGCCCAGAGCTCCGCCCACAGGGCGAAGCTAGCGCGCTTCCCTTCCAATATTCGTCGTTTTCGGACAACTCCCTTTTTTGTTAATATGTTGGTAATAATGTGATGAATAAATAAAAATTAATCCTATAATTTTACGCCGCGCCCCTAAACATCATATTTACTATCTATCCATCGAAACACCATGCAACCTAGCATATTTGAACTGCTAAGTACCTCAGACAATCAATGTGCTTTCATTTTCAGTGAGTATAGACTGAGAATTACTGATATCGTTCTGGATCCCAGAGAGCCAAAGATTGGGAGCAACGCTGTGGAAGCAAAGAGAGCATTCTTGCGTTATCCCCCTGCATTTGTTATCATTCACCTCGACTTCTGCGATTTACCGCCATTGCACGGACTTCTGCCTCAGCACATACCAGTGTTACCTTGCGAAATTAAATTTTCCATGGGCACAGGTCCTTCTACAAGAATCACGTGGCGTCAACTCCCTGTAACACCAGCTTACACATTTACCGACTTTAAAGCACAAGGACAGACGATTGATCACGTTTTAGTGGACATTGGAAGAACGACATGTTTTCGCCTATCTCCCTTCAATGCATACATCGCACTATCCAGAAGTCACGGCCGAGAATGCATACGTCTTCTCAGAGACTTCGACAATGATCTATTCCTTCAACATCCAAACGAAGACCTTCGGATAGAAGACAACAGGATTGAGCGACTCGCGGAGGAAACGAAAAAGTGTTTCTCGAGGACAGACAGTCTGACAGAAAACAAGGTACCATAGTGCAGTACACTGAAAGAAACAATGTAGTAGTAGCTATATAGTGATGTCAGAAGAAATCCTGGGACGAAGCCAGACTAAACAAGCACGATAGAGCTAGAAAAAGACGGAATGTGAGCAAGGTCCACGTCGGCAACGCCGACCCCTAGTATTATATTTGTTGACATATTAGTGGTACTCAATTCAAATTTTCAAACATTTCAAAACTCGCTTAAACACTTTAAACTCCCAGCTAAAGTTCAACAAACTTGGTGTCATGTGCATCAATTCAAAGTCAGGCGAATTCCGCAGGGCGGACTTTGAAACACAATGCCTCCCACTCGTCAACGTGCATGTCGTTCTGCAAGACTTCGAGCTGATGCTCGAGTGCACTCGATGGATCCTTCAGCACTCTCTGTAGCTCTCTCTGAGGGACAATCCAAGGTCCCTTCTGAATCTGGACCACGATTAACCATACAGTGGCATAATGAAACTGCCCTAACAGATGTCTTGGTGAATTATCTAACGTCTCACTCTGCTGATTGTAGGGTGCTCTTTTATTCTGATGGGAAGAAGGCGATGTCCCCCGTCAATGACAGCCCCTCAGGCTCGGACAAAGGCCAAATCTGTAGCGTTATCGCTAAACTTATCTTCACTAATCACCCCAAATATGGTCACGCATATCACGACAATCAGAAGAAATTCCGCAATGCAACCAACAATCGCATCAACAAGTGAGTTTTCTTCTCATTTTTATATTCATACATGCGCTAATGGAATCCCTCAAGTCTCAGAACAAAGTACAAGAAGATGAAGGCTAGATTCGGTGACACAGGTGCTGGCATGATGCCGCTTGATGGGACGGCTGCAAAAAATCTTCTGAGTGCGTCTTTTGTCTTATTTTGTTCTCAGCTTATTTTAATCATTTTATCGTGTTTGTAGACTCAGTTCTTTCGGAGTTTCCGTGGTACACGGACCTCGATGGAATTTGGCACTCCAATCCGTCATTGGCCGCAAGGACTTATTCCTCCAAGCCTGGCGTTGATCACGCCGGCTCTTTCTACTCCCTGGTTCAACCGCGCGGTGGGGCTGGACCCTCCACATCCTTTGGCGCTTCACCCTCTCCCACACATGTCAGCGCTACACCATCCGCTAGCGCTCATGATGTGTCTCCCCAGGCGCGTACATCAGATCCTCAGACCCAGGCGCGTACATCAGATCCTCTATTTTACGGTGATCCCCCCATTGACCCACAACTCCTTCAACCTCAGACTCTTGCTCCCCCCTTCACACCCCCTCAGATACACCTTCCCGGCCTGCGCAATTCCCCCGATGTCACTATCCTGGACAATTATTGTCCTGACTCCGGGAGTGGCCCGCTTAATGCCCCCCTCGGCAATGCACTGGACTACCTCGATGACGATGACGAAGAAATGCTCAACAATACTGGTGCCAGTAGCCCTCCCCAGGTCGCGGGGACAAAACACCACTTCGCTGCATCCCCTTCACCTCCTCCTGACGCCCCCCAGCCGTTCACAATTCGCACCAAGCTCCCAACGCCAATATACGACAGTCGCTCAGCATTTGGCGCTCACAAGCCGTCAAGCCGTGGAGCGCAATGCAAAGGGCCATCGGACATGGCCCGCAGCATGTCTACACCCTCCTTGACGACGCGCAATACCACGCCATCGTCGGACTACATCGTCTCTCCCACCCCGCAGACCTCGCTGCCCAACAGTGGGGGCAGCTCAAAAAAGAAGGCAAGGTCGGATGTCCAGGACCAGGTAGGCCTGGTCCAGGACGAGATCGAGAGCCTGCAGTCCGGCGCCCTGTCGCGCCAGGAGAGCAAGCACCAGCGCTATCTCGCGAAGCTGGGTGCGAAGAGCGAGCACTCCCGCGAGACGAAAAAGTACGAGTGGCTCCGTGACACTCGTGCACACGAGGCTAGTCACGCTAGCCTTGTCCATCAGCGCCAGCAGGAGGACAAGGATGCCGAGATTTGCCTTCGTGAGGTGGATATACGGGTGCACGAAGCGCATTCGCTCGTGCTCGATAAGGAGGCCGAAACCCTGCGGCTCAAGATACAATACCATCAGATGATGCAGGGCAATAAGGCCCCAGGGTTGGATTGAGCTTTGTGAGTTTGTCATCGTTTTGTCGTCGTCGTCATCATCATGTTTCATTTGTCACTGTCATGTTTTGTTTGTCGTCGTCATCTTTCATTTGTCGTCGTTGTCTTTCATTTGTTGTCATCATGTTTTGCTTGTCATTGTGAGTACTTCTTGTGATTGATGTTACATAGCTACATACATGCATGTTACATAGCTACATACATGTATGATACATATTTATTTGTGGTAGTACATGTCAAATTGAATCTGAGAGGAATTATTCAGCCCTATGTTGTGCATTTGAGTGAGGACTATCAAAGAGATCATCCATCAGCTTTGCACGAGCAGCCTGACCTGGAGTGCCATCATATGTCCTGTCACCAATGACCTCATCACCATCTGGACCCTCAAGCTCCTGAACAAAAAAGTCTTCCCCCTCTTCACAAGCCCACTTAAGAGAGCTTTCATATGTTCCATCTTCCTTGCGATGATGAGTTTCGAAGCGAATAATCATGTTGTGCAGGATAATACAACACTTAATCCACTGCACCGCAAAATCAAGGTCTTTCTCAGCCTGAATGCGGAAGCGAAGCTCTCGAAGGGACTGGAACCATCCCTTCAAGACTGCAAATGTGTGTTCAACACGAACATGAACCTAAAAATAAATAAATTCATTGAAAATCCAGAATAAATAAAAAAACCTTGGAGAGATGATAATTGAATGTCTTCTGGTCCTTTGTCAACCGTCCATTGCAAGGCTTCTTGTAGGGAACAATGCACCATGGCTCCAATGGATATGCACTATCCGCCCAAACCCAATGACCATCAGGCAGAAGGTCAGCATGCCCTTCATAGAGGCAAGTAGATCGGAAAGCGAATGCATTATGGACACTCCCGGGATGACCAAGGGAATAATCCACAATAAGGAGGTTGTGGGGCAAGATGACAGCCTAAAATTAAATCAATTTTTTGAATATGAAAGGGAAAAAAAAATACCTGACAGCCCAGGGAATACCTGGATTTCCTATCATAAAATGTCTCCCCATAATAGCCTGGTTTGGTGAAAAGATTCATAGTCGAGCCATCAATGGCCAAAAAGCCACCCTTCCACTCAGGACAAGTACATGACTCGGCAAATTTACAAGCCAGGTCAACATCCTCAGAATTAGCTGCTGGGAAGCAGATAAACTGATCATGGGCATCGAGCACCGCAATCATCACACGATTAGTGCAATTAACCACAGACCCAACACTCACACCTGCCCATTGAGCAACATCCTCTAGAGTAATGGTGTTACCATAGTGGCCTGCCCGATTCAGAAAAATAGCGAGCTGGATGGAGATGGGGAGCTGAGGATTGTTGGATTTGCTTTGGAAGATAGGGTGATCAGAGATATAATCGAGAATGTCATCGAAGATCTCAGGGCTGACACGAAGTTTCTGCCGAAATAAGTGAGGGCGATGTTCCTCATGGTGAATGAGCATGTGAAGCTGGGGTGCTCGTGGAGGAGGCTCGTCGGGCTTGTGGAGTACACGAGCCCTCTTAACCTCATCATGAAGTGCATCAATCATGTCCTGGAGCCTGTCGTAAGGCAGTACAGAATCATCGGAAGATACAAAATCATCACTGGAAAAATTGGATATCCCTGTCATAGGGGAGAGGGGGGAGGGGGGGGATGAGGAGCTAAAGGATAGACTGATGGTATCATCATCATCCGAGGTGCTAGAAAGCGAATCCTCAGAGTCAGAGTCGGAATCACTCTCAAGGTCGGACCAATCGTCCAGGATGTCCTGGTACTGTAGCTTGGCCAACGAAAGTGTGGCCTGATCAACGATATCGAGGAGTTCTTGGCAGGTAGATGGACGAGGCATAGTTTCAGTAGGGCAGTAGGGCAGTAGGGCAGGAGTCGAGGGGATCAAACCTCTCATCCATTTCATGCATATGTGACACACTTTTTGTCGGAGTTTGAAATTTCGGCAAATTCCGAAGTTCCGTCTCACACTGAGCACGTTGGTGCCGTCGTTGACCTCACATCCTCCATGCTCACCTGCAGCACTGAGCAGGACATAATTCAAGTTTCCAGGTGCCATCCACCCAAAGTAAGTGATTTTTGTGCTTATTGCAAGTTGTAGCTTACATTCACCCTTATCTTACAGGAAATCTATTCTAATCCAGGTCCCACACACATCCCACCTGACCAACAACACCTTATCTTTATGGGAGAGCCGCTCCTCCATCCCTCACTTCCCACCATCGACAACTATGACGAGTCATATCCTTTACAGCAGTGGGAAGACCCAGGCGCGTACATCAGATCCTACCATTCACAGCGGTGGGGAGACCCAGGCGCGTACATCAGATCCTCAGACCCAGGCGCATACATCAGATCCTCAGGTCCCTCCACATCCTTTGGCGCTTCACCCTCTCCCACACATGTCAGCGCTACACCGTTCCCTAGCGCTCATGATGTGCCTCCTCCCACTATAGGTCCCTTTCCACATGTTGCCATTGCGCCCTCCACTGGCACTCATTATGCGCCTCCTGGTGCCCTTGGTAGCCCTTCCCAAGTCGCGGGCACAAAACGCCACTTTGCTGCATCACCCGCTCCTCTTCCTGCCCCCCCCCCAACCGTTCGAAATTCCCACCAAACCCCCAATGACCCGCTCTCAGTCCATCTCATCCTCCTTCCCCCAGCACTTATTTGTTCCGTCTGGTACTTCCTACCTATAGCTGATTTCATTCTTGCGGAGTGGTTTTTTTTACAATTTTATTAACGCAGTCATTTGAAATACAAGTCTTTTTGATCCTACTTGCTACCCATGATGAATCTATGCCCCGGCTACTTTTGCTACTCTAAAGCACGACTTTCCCCTCTGTATAGCACACTTTGAAAATCCTAAGTGTTTGAATGTCCAACTTCGTGCCGACGTGTGCCAAGCATGATTCAACTGTTCTTACGCGAGTTTGTTGAAGCTTTAGCCGGGAGTTTAAAGCGTTTAAGCGAGTTTTGAAATGTTTTAAAAGTTGAATTGAGTACCACTATTGTCTGTGGGAATATGGTTGTGAATATTTGATATTTTGGATGACACACAAAACACCACCAAAATTTGAAGTCGTGCACCCATCTTTATGTTAGTTTAAATATCAAATATTGTTTTCACATTTTGTACAACATATAAACCTCTTTTAAATATCGTTCACCCCGATGTGATAACTCGGATGTTTGAGAAAATGATCAGAAGCGGAAGTCGGGAACTTGCTATGTAACACCATGCAACCCGGGCCATCATATTGACAATGGCAATGAGTTTAACAAGGTTCGTGGTCCAGCGGCGACGTGCCAGCTGGAGCCTATTGCGTTAATCGCGCATGACCGTAATATGAATGGTATCAATAAACACAATGTGTGTTGTTAATCGTTCGTTTTCATACTCATGCCAGCAGGATTTTGTTTGACCCATTGCGTCAATAACAAATTGCTCATGCAGCCAAAGTGCAGTCGCAAACCGGTACTAATCCGAGTGAAGGTCCAACTAAGGCACTCCACTTAGCATCTCTTGCTCATCTTTTGCTAACAGTCGTCCATGTCGACATTCACCGTTCTTACTTTGCTGTACATTTGTCTTGCTGGTGTCGGAGTGTTTCTCGACTACATATTCGCCAAGAAGAACCCACAATATCCCCCTGGTCCTCGGGGCCTGCCTCTAGTTGGGAACATTCAAGACATACCTTTTGTCAAGCCCTGGCTCACCTTCGCTGAATGGGGCAAGAAGTATGGTAAAAGTCTCCCATTTTTCCAGAATCATACATTTTAATGCCATTGCGCGCAGGTGATATTTCGCATGCCAGTGTTCTAGGTATGCACATCTTCGTGCTGAACTCCGCCAAAACTGCGGTGGAAATGCTGGACAAGAAGAGTTCTATATACTCTGACCGTCCAGTTGTTCCTATGAGTGGCGAACTTATGGGCTATGGGCAAACTTTGCCTTATCTCCGTTACGGTGAACGCTTTCGCTCGTTCCGCAAGAATTTCCATCGCGCCCTTGGTAGTCGCGCTGCTTTGGTTGTCTACCACCCCATAGAGGAGATGGAGACCCACAGATTCCTGAAGCGTGTACTAGCGAAACCTGACCAACTGCAAGCACACATTCGACAGTATGTATTCTGTAGTGTTACTACTGGCTTAACCTTGAAACTTTCTAGCACCGCTGGCGCTATCATTCTGCGCATCTGTTATGGTTATGAAGTCAAGGAGAATAAGGATCCTCTCGTTGACATTGCAGAACGTACTTTAGACGAATTCTCGCGGCATGCTTACATCGGTGAATTTATGGTCGACTTCCTGCCATCCTGTAAGGCCATGACATTTCGGCGTTCACTCTCAATAGCCTGACTATGTTCTAGTGGCAAAGGTCCCAGAGTGGTTCCCTGGTGCTGGCTTCAAACGCATAGCCCGTGAGTGCCGAGTGACCGTCGAAGAGATGGCTGCTATACCTTACAAGTTTGTCAAAGATCAGATGGTGACTAAGATTTGTAGTTCTTCCGCTACGCACTATTGATTGAATTTTACAGGTTGCTGGCATTGCCCCCAAGTCTTTTTCCTCAGATCTGCTAAAGAACCGTACTTTGACTGCGGAAGAGGATCACATTGTGAAGTGGTCTGCTGTATCACTATTCAGCGCTGGTGCCGACACGGTTTGTCCGTTTGAAACTATCATATGTTGGGGCTAACGCCTGTTTGTTCAGACTGTTTCTGCGATCTACTCATTTTTCCTGGCTATGACACTTTTCCCTGATGTGCAGAAGAAGGCTCAGGCTGAAATTGATGCTGTTGTTGGCCCTGACCGTCTTCCCTCCTTCGCCGATCGCACCTCCCTCCCCTACATCGAGGCGCTTGTTAAGGAGGTCCTCCGCTGGAATGTTGTCATACCTACTGGTATGCGTATCTCGTTTATCGTAATCTTTAGTTGACCAACAGTGCCCGATGTCAGTTGATCACAGCGTAACTGAGGATGACATCCACGATGGGTATCACATTCCAAAAGGCTCCGTGATAATCCCTAACATATGGTTGGTATTCTCCTTGTGCATATGGTATATTAACGCTTTGAATTGTGACAGGTTCATGCTCAATGATCCGCAGACATACGTCAACCCCTCGGAATTCAATCATGAGCGCTTTTTGGCCAAGGACGGAGAAGAGCCTGAGACCGATCCTCGCACATTGTGCTTCGGTTTTGGTAGACGGTGAGAGTTGAGTCGCTGTTACATTTTGAATGAAATGCTAAAGTTCTGTTCCATAGGCTCTGCCCAGGTATGCACGGCTGACAGGACACTGACAAGTTTTCTAACGTTGATCGCTTTCGACTGTATAGGTCTGCATCTCGCTGATGCATCCATCTGGTTAACTGCCGCAATGTCACTTGCAGTGTTCGACGTTTCCAAGGTTGTCGAGAATGGCGTTGAAATCACCCCTGAAATTGACCCCTCATCCGGGTTGATCAGGTATGTTGCGTATCTTAATATCACTACGGTGCTCTGGACATACACACTCGCAGCCACCCAAAGCCTTTCAAGTGCTCGATCGAGGCTCGCTCTGAAAGAGCCTCTACACTTATAATTCAACAAGATACTTAAGTACCAAGTAGTGCTAACTGGCGGTTGTTTCACACAGTAGCATTCTCACCTTTATGTTTGCAAGGCTCGAGGCCACATCACAAAGTATTCTACGATTTCTTCTGCTTGATCACACGAGGGAACTCGCGGGGTGAATGATGCACGAATGCTCTCTTCCTCTGCATGCAATTGATTGTGAGCTAGAACACACTGCCATTCAGAGTACCTTGAGACGAGGTTTTCAGGCCTTTGTCCCTGTTATTATGTTGTTTCCGTGTATAACTTTCTTCGTTGTACCATCATATGAACGTTAGTGATAAGGTACTACCCGCACTACGTGAGTCGTGAGTGTCAGAGATTCCTGAATGTCCTCGCAACAGCGCCGCAGCGCGTGACTGCAGTGTGCCTGACCTGAGTAACACCGTCGTCCTCTCCACATCAGTGATTTGAGCTTTTTGTTATTTTGTGTTCTGCTTGACCATCTCACTTCGCGTGGGCGTAGACGTGAATGTTAATTGAGGTTAGCCAGCCAATGTCGACAGTGCAGGGTATATACGGCAGGCGGCTATACCCGGCGGATAAAATAAGAGGCGCCGCGTTGTGGCCAGCTGTGATCCTCGAATCAAAATAAGCAGGTTCTTGTGGACTGCCATTGCACACCCTATCGATTAACTAGCCAATGGCAAGCCAGTCAGCAAACACCTCATTGGAACAAATTCACATAGTATAATGGGCTACCTCTTTCATCTGAGTCGTTCCCTTGTACCACCATGATTGCGCCGCAGGATGACGAGGAGACACCTCTCCTGCAACGACCAGAGCAGCGAACAACTAAGACACCTCTGCCCTGGGATCGATTTTGGATTATACTGCTCTTGGAGATGCCAAGTTTTCTTTCTTCTCAGACCCTTGCCCCGTTCATTCCCCAGGTGAGTAGATTTCCCTTTGCTAGACTTAGATCTGACCACAACTGGAACTTTGTCAAGCTCATTAGAGACATTGGAGTGACTCACGGAGACGAATCCCAGGTTGGTTACTATGTCGGCATCCTTGTAAGTGTGTCTTCATTGTTCCTACTCCTTCATTCGTTCCTGATATTTTCTCGAGCAATCATCATGCTATGCAGCTCATATGCTGACTATTTTCCATTGGAGTCGACTATCCGACCACATCGGGCGGAAGCCTGTAATGCTGACAGCTTTATTAGCAATCATTGTTTCGATGTTTTCGTTTGGGCTATCGAAGACTTTCCTTGGTCTGCTGGTCAGGTCAGCGTGTTCGGCCGAAAGTAGTTGTCTATCAATACTAATATCCTTGACCAGTCGTGTTTTCTGCGGAGCATTTGATTCGAGCGATGGTGTCCTCGAGACCTTGGTGATGGACACCACTGACGTGACAAATATGCCTGAGGCATACGGTTATATACCAATTCCATGGATGATCGGAAACACAGTTGGGTAGGCATACAGTACATTTTCTCTCGCACTGAGGTTCACGGCATCTGCTAGACCACTCATTGGAGGATCGCTCTCCCGACCAGCAGACAGATTCCCTGACATCTTTGGGCGATCAGAACTCCTGAAAACTTATCCATATCTCCTGCCATGCTCTATTTCAGCATTTTTTATATCGATAGCTTGGCTAATCACGTATTTTTGTCTTAAAGAGGTGAGCGTGATACTGAAAACTCATCTCTGGATCACACTAAGTATGGTCGTCAGAGCGTTTCTACCAGGACACCGCTTTGGGAGCTAATTAAAGGAAGATTCTTCGGACAGTCATACCAAAAGCTTCGCCAGCCATCGAGTAATGTTGATCCTGGAGAAGTCCAATCAAAGCCGCTTCCGCTACATGCCTTGTTAACCTCGAAAGTGTTGAGGGTAACAACGAGTTACGCTACCACAAACCTGCTTTACATAGCGTTTACTTCGGTCCTACCTGTTTTCTATGCGACACCGATTGAACTTGGTGGTCTTTCCCTTGACCCTCCTCGCATAGGCGCTTTGCTTGCGGCACAAGGTGTCACACATGGCATATTTCAGCTACTTTTCAATGCTCGTTTACATGATCGCTTCGGTGCAGGAGCTATCCACATCACCGGCGTTAGCTCCGGCATACCCATTGTCATTTTATTTCCAGTCATCAATGCTCTGGCTCGAGCCTATGGTGTAGGTGTGGCGGTATGGCTGTGTGTTGCTGTCCAGCTTGCGCTGACTACTAGCCTGGTCATGTGCTACCGTATGCCAATCCAGCACTTTCTGCGTTCTGCTAAACTAAAAAGAACTCATAGCCTGCATGTCATTATTCGTCAGAGCAGCTGCTCCTAATCGCGCCTCGTTCGGAGCAACCAATGGAATTGCCCTAGCAGCCGTCACAGTGGCAAGTATCATCGCCCCGGCGTCTGCAGCTTCGGTCTTCTCTTATTCATTGCAGGAAGGGCACGATGCGTGGTCGATATACTACTTCTTGATGACAATTACATTTCTCGCAGTAGGTACTGCTCTATTACTTCCCCGTGATCCTAGTGTGTGGGAAGATTCCCAATGATATTATCGCGAATGACCGCGTGCTATGACAGTGTGGGGGGGAAGAACTGGCAAACTGTCCTGAATCTCCTGGTATTCGCGATGAGTTTGAACAATGGTTTAAAGCATTTGACCTTGTTCAGGATGTGTTCTATGTGGTGTGTTTTCGTTCCCAGTTCCCAGTTCCACTCTGAGAGTGTCTCGTTGTCTGGCATGGGCCGGGCATGTGAAGAGGAAATGATGCAGCAATTCGCTTCCTTCGTTGCATTGCTAGCATGTCGCTGTGTCTGACTTCGCTACGCGATGAAGATGTTTATTGAGCGGTGTGTATCCTGTTCGGACTTGGAACAGAACAGAGCTCTTGGAACCCTGTCAATGATATCTGTGAAGTCGAGGGTGTGAATGGATCTATGGTGTGCAGGATGGCATAATGGGGGGATTTGCGCATGATCTTTGACGCTTCCTGTTTATTTTCCGCTCAGAAGTTCTGCAGTGTCAATGATTATGCTGTAGATTATTGTCCATCTTATCATGCACAAAACAGCATCTGCATGCATGATATGTTGTATGTGAATGAGCTATATTGAAATAAAAGATGGTTCAGGTGTAAAGCGTTGGCTGCGTGCAGCAGAAATTGGGACTCGCACGCAGGTGTATCGAACTAATGATGATTACAACAGCGATTGAGTAGTACAGCTCAGTTGTACGCGAGAGATGTTGTCCCATATGTAAGAGAAATGAAAACTGGCAGGCACCGAACAGTGTGAACGTTCACGTTCAAACTTGAGCAGATGGGAGGCTGGGCGGGTTGCATTGAGTATCGAAAGCATAGGCATAAGCAGACTGATTCGGGAAAAGTGCATGGGGGAAGAATGGAACCTGGATTCCGGAGTGTGCTAGAATTTCAGATCAGACTAGAATTTATACTTTGCAGGTGTACGAAACGACGGTAACCCTGTGGCTAACACCTACATCGCACGACGGTCATAACGCAGTTCAATTTTACCTGAGATGTGTAGCGTATTATATTGTGGAGTGGGAACTCGGCAGCATGTTGTAAGAGATGGAGCAGAGACGTTCCAAAAGGTAGTCGGCCTCCAGAAGGCGCAGTAGTGTAATGGGTTTCACGTTTGCGCCCTAGCACGAGGGGACCACATGAGACGCATACAGGTGGACACCGCTCCAAGGTCATCATAAAATTACATATTGCAGATACTGTGACAGTTCAGCCTAGAAGTTCGAGAGCATCGTTAAATAACTAGAAATAGATATCTGTCTCCAATGAGATGTAGAGCCAGATACATCTATTATAAAGCTCACCTGGGTCATCACGGACGTCATAGTGACAAGGGCGTAAAAACAGGGATCGTAAATGAAGCGGCCGCCATCTAATCCTCACTTTCGACTGCATTCCTTTAAACAACTGACAAGCACGTTCCTGGGAAAGACAGTATTCTGAACAGGTACTATAGAGTTCTCTGGAGACATACCCGAACTGTCCATCGAAATGGTAGAGAATCTCGGTTATAATTTCTATTTGAAGTAGGTGAGTACTCAGTGGCTCCGTACCATGGCATGGAATCGACTGAAAACCTCTTCGGATTTGCAATGTCAACATTGGGCAAATAAGACCATGAGATAGCCTACCGGTACGAAGCTGTAGAGGTGATCTGGGGGAGGCGACACATAAGATTGGCTGTAACTATTGTCCTAAGAAAATTCCCCAAATGTAAGAATGACAAGACTATGCTAAAATAACCTGAAAACTCACCACATTGGCGTACATGTAACTCGACGCAGCGCCGTATGGATGATTGATCATGACGGTCCAGCATGAACGAGTACGAGTATGACGGTATACTATGTGGTCCCTTCTGTTCGCTGCAGCGGGGTCAGAAAACCGCACGCAGGTGAACGTTGAAGGAAGACCGCTCTACACCGAGGCGACCATGTGAAGGATGCAGTGCCGATACGGCCCGACGCGAGATAACTTGGCAGGTTGTGATGGACATAGCCCGAATTCAAGTGAACGGCTGTGAGCCGAAGTCCTGGGTTTAAATTTAGTTACATGATTCTTGAAGATCATGATGAGTCTTTACTTAGACTCAGACTCTTTTGAGAATCGAACTGTGCCCACCCGAATGCACCAGCCATGCCGAGTTTACCTGCCAGCAGTGGCCACTGGGCCAAGGCTAAACTTGGCCAGGCCCTTGCCATGGCATTGCCGTCGCGGAGATGTCCGACTCCCGGACCCGATATCATCATAACCACTACTAGGTCAGAGAAAATTAATATTTTCATAGTACGACTCGTGAATTTATTACTGGTGGGACAGAGCCTAGTTCGCTAAAATAGTTTAGAGTCTCAGCGAAGCTTTGGAACAGTGCTGAGGTGAAAACAAACGCGAGACGCGGTATATGTACAATGTGTTACATAACCATCAGCAGCCAGAGTCGCAAAGTAGGTATGTATATGGTGAAGAAGGTGCCAAGAAGA